CATTCTATATTTCAGAGAATGTGCTATTGAAAAATGCATACGAATAGGGTATGCGACATCTATCGCGTATTTAGTAAACTTTCGAAAATAAGATGCAGTTCGAACAAGTAAATATATTTATTAATTCAATTGGATTTGAAATTTGAATTTCAAATTGACACCCACATACAATGTGGATTGCATTTTGAAATATACTCAACTAAATAATTTTTATTCCTTGAAGTATAACTAGTATACAAACGTGCTAAAGTAGACGGCTGCTCTTGGCAATTGGACGGTTATCGCTGAACTGGACCCCCTCACCACGATAAGGTGTCAGCCACGAGGGGAAGTTTGAAATCCTGTTTTCCAAAGTCCGGCATATGCCACGATCGCCCATTTCACGCTGTGATCGCTAGTCGACTCTGGACACGGTCTTCTAAAGTCGACGAACGCGAACGCTTCTCACTCGCTCACACGTACTCAAACACATACAAATATGACAGCCCCCTGCTTTGGTCACCTTTGCCATGGCAAAGGCCATAAAATGAATGAACAAAATATATTTTCAAATATTTCAAACATTTTTACATAACAATTAAATTAAAATTAATAGTGACATGTTATAAATGTAAAAATTATTTTTACTAATTATTGCTTAACAAAAAGTATTATAATTTTACAATTGTAGGTAACTAAGAGAAAGTATTTACAATGGAATGACAAATTTACAATAAATGATCAATATTAATTACTTAATGAACTAAAATGAATAACAACTACATAGAAATAGTGTAGAAGCATTTACAATAAAGATTCACAAAAACTGTCTAATAATTTATCAATGACTAATAACATAATAATAATTATAAACTAAGGAGAGAAAAGCGTATTGACCTCAGGAAGAATATCAAATTTAGAAGCATTGACAAATAATGCTGAAGGTTTCAAAAAAAAAAATAATAATAATAATAATAATAATATAAAGAACAAAGAACTTGTTAAAAAGTACAATAGTTCACTATGTAAAAAAAACTAGGAACATAAAATACGTATTGATATCAAAATTGACAGAAAACTAAATTCAATATTTAAGTGAGTGAAAAATGTTAATATTTTTGACATACTTGAAGTGAGTGAATATATAGAGTAGAAAGAATTGCGTCATTGTAATACATACCTTAGACATATAAAAGAGATAGATAAATTCGCATCTGGATCTGAAAATAAAGATGTTAGTTATGTTTAGTTAATTAAAAACACCGCAATTTGTTTTTTTTTATTTCAATATCAGTTACAACTGCTAAATAACATCTAGCAACAATCCATAAGAATTAGGAATAAAATATAATACAAAAGTATAAACGATGATAAAATTAATGAATAAAATAAATAAAATTTGTGAATAATATAAATAATATTAGAAGAACAAGAACAAAAAAAATGCAATAAAAACAATAAAGGACAATAAAAAATATAATAAAAGATTAATATTAAAAATAACTAGTGGTGTACGGCATAGTTCTTTCAAAGACTCATTCTTTTCACATTTAGCTCGGCATCCCCGAAACCCCTGGACCTGCCTTTACCAAAGACTAATCAGCACATTTTCCTATCAATAGAAATTAAATATTTTTTAAACCATTCAATTCGGTTGAACCATGCGCCCGAAAGCGTAGATGAAAAAATTTTGGACAATTACAATAACCTTATTCTATGGAAAGTTAATAAGAAAACAATATCAAAAATTTTAAAATAATGTAATAGTAAAAAATTGCAAAAATAACAAGTACCACAAAATTCTTACATTTAATATTTTTGAGTAGTTTTTACCAAACTTATCACAGTCGCCGTCTTCAGTGTGCATTTATAGCTTTGATCGTCGATTGGAAAATTATTAATTTGCTTCTATGAATATTAGTTGAACTGGTATCGAGTAACGGTTCCAATAGCTGATTGAAAATGGCTGAAAAAAAATTATATTACAAAAGACAACAGTTACTGGAGAATAACTTAAATATGGTGAATTGTTCAAATAAATCATTAACTAAATCCTTGATTTTGATTCGGTAGTACTAGAATAGTCCACACTATTCATTCTATTCGAACATGTTAAAAAAATCTATATATTTCAGTCAATTCAATATTATTAGAAAAGTAAATTCTTTTCAAGTATGTCAAAAAAAAATCTACATTTTTCAGTTAATTCAATATTATTAAAAAAAGTAAAGTCTATTCAAACAAGCCAAAAAAATCTACATTTTTCAGTCAATTCAATATTATTAAAAAAGTAAAGTCTATTCAAACATGTAAAAAAAGATCTACATTTTTCAGTCAATTCAATATTATTATAAAAGTAAAGTCTATTCAAACATGTAAAAAAAGATCTACATTTTTCAGTCAATTCAATATTATTAAAAAAGTAAAGTCTATTCGAACATATCAAAAGAATCTACATTTTTCAGTCAATTCAATATTATTAAAAAAGTAAAGTCTATTCAAACATGCCAAAAAAATCTACATTTTTCAGTCAATTCAATATTATTAAAATAGTAAAGTCTATTCGAAGAACATGCCAAAAAAATCTACATTTTTCAGTGAATTCAATATTATTAAAATAGTAAAGTCTATTCGAAGAACATGCCAAAAAAATCTACATTTTTCAGTGAATTCAATATCATTATAAAAGTAAAGTCTATTCAAACATGTAAAAAAAAATCTACATTTTTCAGTCAATTCAATATTATTATGAAAGTAAAGTCTATTCAAACATGTAAAAAAAGATCTACATTTTTCAGTCAATTCAATATTATTAAAAAAGTAAATTCTTTTCAAACATGTCAAAAAAAATCTACATTTTTCAGTCAATTCAATATTATTATGAAAGTAAAGTCTATTCAAACATGTAAAAAAAATCTACATTTTTCAGAAAATTCAATATTATTAAAAAAGTAAAGTCTATTCAAACATGTAAAAAAAGATCTACATTTTTCAGTCAATTCAATATTATTATAAAAGTAAAGTCTATTCAAACATGTAAAAAAAGATCTACATTTTTCAGTCAATTCAATATTATTAAAAAAGTAAAGTCTATTCGAACATGCCAAAAAAAAAAATCTACATTTTTCAGTCAATTCAATATTATTAAAAAAGTAAAGTCTATTCGAACATGCCAGAAAAAACTACTTTTTTAATAATATTGAATTGACTGAAAAATGTAAAGTCTATTCAAACATGTAAAAAAAGAGTGCGCGTAAGGATCACACGCGATTGCAGTAAAACTTATTTACTACTGTATAAAGTAGCAAATTTAGATTGAGTAAAAATAAATACATCATATAACAATTTTGAATAATGTTTATTAGTAATATGGTAACACTCATGATGCACACATTTATTAGTGTCGTCAATCATTATACACATATATATAATGATAAATTATAAATTATATATTTATGATTACATTAAAAATATGTATAATATTTACAAACAATAATGTAATCAAAGTCGTACTTGAAATATGACATGATCGTTTTAAAGTAATTGCTGATTAATAAATTCTATAATATTCATTCACACAGTGGATTATGTTAAACAACGCCTAAACAAATATTGTTTTTGCAAATCAACTCATCCTGTAACAATTGTGTTTGAAGAACTTTATGTAATTAAAATTAACATACATTCATTTACTGTTTGTATTTTTTTACTTTTTCGCTGACAATATAATCTCATTCCTTAAACAGCTGTAATATCTGTCTTGCCTGACAAATTGAAGCCATACTTTTATATTTGTTTTATTTATCAAGCCCTGCACATAGCTTGATCTATGAATCACTTGCTTTTTTATGTGAACGTTAATGCAATGATCATCATCAATATTACGAGGTAATAAATTAACCATATTATTAATGTCAACAGGCACATTTATAATTTGGTCAAACATTCCAAATTGTCCATTTGCATGTCGCAATCGTCTAATTTGCATGAAACACAGCCTAGGTGAAATTAACCTTTCAGATACAGTATCTAGTTTAGGTAGATAATTTGGTATAGGTGGAAATACAAACCCGTTAAACTCACACAAAGTGGGAATTTTACCCGAATTTAATATCTTTCGACAAGTTTGACATCCAACCTGATTATTTAAATCAATATTCAAAAAACATTATTAAGAATTTGTTTTTGAGCATCATTTGATATTTCTAAGTCACTTTGAAGCCAAAGTCGATCACACACAAAACATACATAGCCAAAGCTGTCATTTCTTGCGCAGCGCAGATTTTTCCTTAGTTTCATTATTTATTTGCGATCATTTGCACTACAATTATTTATGGGGGACGGGATAAAATATTCTTCCGATCCTGACATTTTTATTAACTCACGAATTATACTGCTAACCCATGTCGCGCCTAAAGAAGTTTTACTTCAAAAAATGTTTAGAGACTACGAGCTAAATACAAAACTCAAGTGAAAGTCGACACATTTTGTTTTGTTTTTGACATATGATTTGACATTTGATGTATTTTTTGTTTTGCTCGCAGACTAGATCGAATAATTGCGATAGCTGCGCTTACTAGCGTCGTAGTCTTCAACTTCACGTTGGCGTTTTCGTTGCATTTGTACGGATTTACACCCATGTCGCGCCTAAAGAAGTTATACTTCAAAAATCTACATTTTTCAGTCAATTCAATATTATTAAAATAGTAAAGTCTATTCAAACATGTCAAAAAAATCTTTCAGTCAGTTCAATATAATTAAAAAAGCAAAGCAAATCCACGTTTTCAGTCAATTCAAAAATGTCAAAAAAATCTACAGATATCTTCAGATATTACATCTTCATCCAAAAGCCAAGAATACTAGATAACAATTTATTACACGATGCAATTATAAACAGATTGAAAGTGAAACGTATTTACTGATTAAAAATAGTAAAAATGAAAAAAGTAATGTAATTGTCATACAACAAACGCGAGAAAAAAAAAATCGCTAGCAATTTATTACTAATAAAGACTTGCCTTATGCAGAGACTAAAATCCAAGTATTTAATGTAGCCTCTCCTGTTTCTTTTTCTTCTTTAAATTTTTCTCGTCGATGGTCAGCAAGAGGAAAGGAGGGATTCCCCAATACTACATTACCCATCGTCAATTCAAAATGGCATCAACTGTTACTAAAAATGAAATTGAATAAAAATAAATGTGATACATAATTTTAGGAACACTAAAGATAAAAATAAAAATGATAGATTTGAAATTTAAAAATATGAATAAGAAAGAAATAAACAAAACTTTTAAAAATTATATACTAGAAACAACCAGAAATGAATACATATATTAAAAATATAATAATAATAATATAAATTAAAATTAAAATATAAATATAAAAATGAAAACACATATCTATAATAATAAAATGTAAACACTTGAAAATACAAATTAAAATTTGAAAATAAAAGTACAAATGTAAAACATAATAAGATAAAAACAATAAAATAGTTAAGTATATAAATATAAAAAAATATAAATCAAAAAGAAAAATGCTCATAATAATAAACAAAAACTATGAGAAGAAAGATAATACTAAAAATTAGAAAAAATAAAAATATAATGAATAAAAATGTCAAAAATATGAGTAGAAATAGTAAAAGAAAACAAAATTAAATGAATCTGATATACAACAAATGAGTCATGAGAATTATTTTCAGTCAAATATATCTAGAACTTATATATTTATATTTAGAGTATGTGTCATACATTTATTTGTATTTGTATATTTATTATGATAAAAAAATAAACTAAAGTATGACTTTACCGATTGACCAGTGCTTGTGTAAGTCTCCAATAAATTACCCACCCAACAGAGCATCATCGAGGACATTGGAATCATCTTGCCAATCGCCTAAGCCCCATTCTGATATTTTCTCCAGACATATTTCTAAAAATTATAATAAAAAGAATAGTTGAATATTAATAAAATTGAAAGAAAAACAAGCTTAACTGCAACAATAAAAAAATATATACTTAAGTACCACAATTTCTTGCAATATTACAATAATAAATAACTATAGTATAATTCAAATTCACAAAAGTTCTTTGAAAGCTAAACTATTTCAATTTTTATTAAATTTTTTTGCAATTTTATATATTTTTTTTGTTTTGGAAAAATAGATTAGGTCCTTCTGGAAATTTTTTAATAAAAAAATATGTATCCAATCTTGAATTAAAAAAAAAAAGTTTTATTAGCACTTACCAAAAATTGAATTAACATCTATAATAGTTTTGAGTAATATACATGTATACTTGACTATATATTGAATGTGTGAAAAATTTCAAGTGATTTTATGTTCAAATTTGCATTATGTTTGCTTATAAACATTAATTAACATTAAAAATAGTAATATATAAGTTTCAAAGTGGTTTCAAATAGAACGTGTTTAGGGTGAAAATGGAAAAAGTAAGGTAATTTAATGTAAAAAAATATATGAATACCGATTTATTGTTAATACACACTTGTCTTATGTAGATACCAAAATCCAAGTATTTAATGTGGCTTTTCCGCTTCTTTTTCTCCTTAATTTGAACTTTGACATTGATAGTTAGCAATTCTGCAAGTTATCCGTACTTTGATATGAAATCTGCTGGTTGCTGTCAAAGTCAAAATATCTAAAGGCTGTCGAAGAATAATTAAATATTAATAACACAACTAGGTAACATGCATATATTATTAATATTATATATTTAAATAAAATGTGTATGTTTGCAACGGATACTGATATTGATTATAAATTATTAAAATTCACAATATTATTATGAGAGAGCTCAGGTAACATTTCACAATTAAAACAGGTAACAATTAAAATTAAGTTGATGACATAATATATCTTTGTTAAAAAGAATTATTACATATGATTTATTTAATAAAAAAAAAATGAAATTAATATGAAAATGTAACTAAGAAATTATAATAACCAAAATAGAAATATAAATTGAAATACAAATAAAAAGATGTAAAAAAAATGAATGAATAAAGAGAAAATTAAAATATGAAATACTAAAAGTAAAATAAAATATAAATAAAAAATAAATATAACATAATATAAATAAAAATGGTAAATATACTAAAGTAATTAAGATAATTTGAAAAATAAAATAAAAATAATAATTAAAATATTAAAAATCAAATTAAATAAAAATAAATTTAATACTTCATTTTAAGAATGCTGAAGATTAAAACAAACATAAACAGGAAATTTTGAAAATATAAATAAAAAATAAAATAAAAAATAAAAAATAATTAAATATATATACTAAAAACCATAAATACCAAACATAATAAGAATACTAATAAAAATGTAAATTAAAATAAAAATCCAAATACAAATATAAAAATAAAAACATATCAATAATAATAAAATATAAACTGTTAAAATTAATATAAAATAAAATTTAAAAATGAAAAGAAAAATACAAATATATAAAACTAAATATAAAAAATAAAAGTACAAAATAAAAATACTAAAAATAAAATAAAATGGTAAATATAAATATTTATAAATAAAAATTAAAAAACATACTCAAGATAATAAAGCTTATGAAAATAAAAATTGAATGAACAAATATATTTGTTATATAAGTATCTGTTAATAAAAAAAAAAAAAATTAATGAATTAATGAAAATATGAACGCAATATTGAAATATATTATTTCATATATTAATATATGAAAAACTATGATTGAAATGAAAAATAGGTAAATTAATGAATAAAATAATAATAAATAAAAAAATAATTTTATGAACAAATAAGTGAAATGTTGTAAACATGTAAAAAAACAAATACATTAAGTGAATAAACAAAAAAAAAAGGTAAATAGAAACTGCATAAAGAAAAAAGTGCATTGATTAATATTTTATATAAATGCATAAACAAATATATAATTGTATAAATAAATAGGTAAATAACATACACAAATAAAATGATAATTTATGAATAAATATGTAAAAAAAAACAATAAATTAAGTGAATAAACAAACAAAAAATCGTAAATAAATACTGCATAAATAAAACAAATTGATTAATAATTTATATAAATGAATAAACAAATATGTAATTAAATAAACAAATAGTAAATATGTTAGTAAATTAATAAATAAAAAAATAAATCAAATGAAAATAATTTATAAATAAATACGTAATGGAACAAATGTATAAGATCAAGATAAATATTCAGTCAAATATCGAAATGTATAAATAAATAATAATACATAAAAAGATAAGTAGATATTGATGAGACATAATTAAAAAAATAAAAGTGTGGATAAATATATAATTGATTAAATAAATAATCAAACATATAGATAAATATGTGATGAAATACTGAAGTAAATTACCGAAGGACACATAAATAAAAAATAATTATGTAGTTAAATAAGAAAAATAAATGAATAAGTAATAAACTGAATATTGAAATATATAAATATTTAAAATATATTTAAAAAAAGCATATGCATAATGAAACAAATATAAGAAGAATGAAATAAATAAATATATAAGTAAATAAGTTTAGTTACTTAACATCTCAAAGCAAATTCCGCTCAATAATAGCGCTTCCTAGAGAAGTCTTTCTGATTTCTCCGTAGGTATCATGTCTGAAGGGATGCTATCCTTAATTGTGGTTCTCCGGCAACCTGAATCAAGAAAAAAAATTAATACGAAGCCTATGCACCAAAATCTATAATTGACATATGAATTATTAGTGTATAAATATTTCATATATTTTTAATATGATAATTATTGCTCAATTGATACATCAAAAGTAAACTATTACAATTGTAATATTATTGGCCAAATAAACTCATTGTTAATGAAGACATCAAAAATTTAGAGAAATTGACAATGAAAATCTACCAGCAATATAATAAAAGTGTGCACTAAATGCCTGATATCATACCTTTCAAATACCATTTGATTAGTCATTTCCGACTGCTAAGGGAGCTCCATTGTTCCATTTTGAGACCAGATCTAAACTAAAATAGAATAAAAATTTTCAGTGAATTTGTTTTGACATACTGTTCAATTATAATTTGCCCAGAGCTGCAAGTGACTTTTAATGAAGTGATAAGTAAACAACTAAACAAGTATAATACCTTTAGATCTCAAAGCTTTAAAATAAAATAAGCCCTTTCTAGAGAGGTCTTTCTGATCCCTCCGCAGATATAACCTGTTAAGGGCTGCTATGTTTAATTGTGGTTCTGAATCTGAATCGAGGAAAAAAATAATACAGAGCCTATGTGAATATTTCAAATATTTTGTAATAGGATAATAATTGCTCAATAAATACATCAAAAGTAAACTACTTCAATTGTAATATTAATGGTCGATTAAACTCATAGTTAATGAGGACGTCAAAAATTTAGAGAAATCGACAATGACACTCCACCAGCAATATAATAAAAATATACCTATTATCATACACTTCAGATATTATTTGATTAGCCGCTCGTGGCTGCTAAGGGGGCACCATTTTTCCATTTTCAGACACAAACTTTTACACTTTTACACGATGCCAAGGAACGCGTTGCAACTTGAACTAAGATTGCACTTTCACAAACTGTTATGTCACTTTATGAGTTACCGAATGCGAAATATTTATTGCACAACTAACTACAGTATTTCTAAAGTTCTCACTTGTTGAAGGGGTCTTTCTTTTGCCATGTGTTTCCAATAAAGTCTCAGAATAAAAAGAACTAAAACTAACTAAAACGCTTTCAACTAGTCTGACAGGTCGCCCATAGATGCAATGGATGTATATGAAGATGTGCAACTTCACAGTTCAGAGTTGTCGATGAACAGTTGCGCCACAAAAAGTGCTAATTTCAAATTCAAAATTCGAAAACCTATTATAGATGTAAATGAATATAACAAATCATTAACAAATTGTTATAGAATTTAGTTCAAATTACTAACATTATGGGGGTGAGGTGTATGGCATCGTGCCTTAAGGCAAATTGCTGAAACTTCCCGTACCGTAACGGAATGTTCGACGAATACTGAATGTTTTCAAATAGATTATTATAAATATTGTAACATTGTTTAATATTTATAAGAATTATATAAACTAAATTGCAAAGTTGAAATTATTTGTTTAAAGTATATTAGAACTGTAGTCAGAATTAAAAATAAAATCTGAATTATTTTCGATATACAAAAAAAATTTTTTTTTGGAAAAAAAATCCAAAATCAATTATTTTGTTAGGACAAGCAAAGAGTTCTTTGAATCATTTCAATCGGACGCTTAGTTCTCTCAAAAACTGCCATTTTTTGAATATTTAGCTCCGTATCTTCGAAATGGCTGGGCCTGCTTTTGCCAAAAACTAATGAACACTTCTCCCAATAATTACCAATTGAATGTTTTTAAGATCATTCAAATCGGATCCTCCGTTCTCTAAAAAAACTCGATTTCTATTTTCTGCACTCTTTGCTTTTTATCTCCGTAACTGCTGGACCTGCCTTCGCCAAAAACTAATCAGCTCATCTCCCTATCAATAGGAATAGAATGTTTTTTGAACCATTCAAATCGGTTGATCCGTGCGCCCGTAAACGTGACTGGATATTTGTATCCATACAGATTCATTTTTTTTGAGGTATGCTAAAATGTTCAGAAACCTTCAAAACGTTGAGCAATAAAGCAAAAAGTTTTTTGAATCTTTCAAATCGGATGCTTAGTTCTCTTGGAAACAGCCATTTTTTAGCACATTTAGCTCGGTATCTCCAAAACGGCTGGATCTGCCTTTGCCAAAAACTAACAACCACTTCTCCCCATTGGATTGTTTCTGTATCATTCAAATCGGATACACTGTTTACTCAAAAACTCGATTTCTATTTTCTTTGCTCAGTAACTCCAAGAAGGCTAGACCGACTTTTGTCAAAAACTAATCAGCATATCTCCCTATCAATCGGAATCGAATGTTTTTTTAACCATACAAATCCAAAATGTTCAGAAACCTCTAAAACGTAAAAATATGCTATAATTTTAACATTTTAGATTTTTGGACGATTACTATAACTTACCCCACGAGTAATTTAAAAACTGACATTATTGAGGGAGCGTCCATTAATCACGTGATCGATTTTTTACGGATTTTTGAACCACCCACTTTGGTGATACCACGTGATATTTTAAATTACTCGCCCTCACCCAGCAAACATCACGTATTTTTAATTACGTAAAATTTTTCGAATGAAGTTTTTTTTTAATGGGTAAAAAATAAATACACGTGATATCTAACTACACTACTCCCCTCTACGTGATTTTTGTTAAACCCCCCCTCGTCCTAAAAACCTCACGTGATTAATGGACGCCCCCTTATTGCAAAATCATTTACAAAAAACACTTCAATGCCAAACAGCAACTTTTTTATTTATACATGTCATAGAATTACATTGAAAAATTAAAATCAAATTATTCAATTAAATCATCTTTATTCTAGAACATGATTTAGTTTTACAAATTGGTCACTTTGTAAAATTACAAACACAATCGTTTGGTGTGTGTATTTAAATATATTAAGGAGGCAATTCTGCCTCATAAAATAGCTTTGTCTTGGCAACGCTATCTTATGCTATGGGAAGAATGTTATGATAACATAATTCTAGACGGTGCAGTTATCATAATATTATTATTTGCTTGTTTATATGTAAAATACGCCTGATTGCACGGTAAATAGATTGATATTTTTACTGTTTCACTTACAAGGAACAAGCATAAAATAGCATTGCCATGACAACGTTATACCATGAGACAGAATTGCCTTCTAAATCACTTGTTAATAATAAGTAAAATTAAATTAAAATAATAATTCATTGATTTTCATCACATATAATAAACTGTGTTGGTTAAAGGACAAGGTGCCTTCTCAGAAAGCTTGATTGTTTTTGTTACTCACTCGTACAAATGAAAAAAAAGTATATGGTTTTCCAAATGAGTGGATTGATTAAAACCTTTATTACAAATTTCACAATGTGTCTCCTATGTGGATACGCATGTGGCTTTTCAGATTGGCTGGTCGTGCAAATTTCTTATCGCATATTATACATGTACAACGTTTTTCATCAGTGTGTATAAGCTTGTGCTTAGATAATTGGCCTGATTGTTTAAATTTGCTACCACATATACCGCATTCAAAAGGGCGTTCATCGCTATGAGTGAACATATGTTGTTTCAAATTATCCAATCGATTAAATGCCTCGTTACATATATCACATTCATATGGTTGCTCTGCAGTATGAATCTTGGTGTGTTTATATAAACCGTAATGAGTAGTAAATGCCTTATCACATATTTTGCAAAAATAAGGCTTTTCCCCGGTATGAATTCTGAAATGCCGCTTTAAATAGCTTCTATATAAAAAAGTCTTTGAACAATATTTACATTTGAGATCATGAGCTTCTGTGTGACTTTTCAAATCATACTGTTTTTCAAAAGATCTATCACACATGTCACATTTATAAGTCGATGTAAGAATTGATTCCTGCTCGACTTCTGCAGATGGACGCTTCCCAGTATGAGTATGCATATGAAGTTTTAAATGAGTTGGTTGTTTAAAACCTTTACCACAAATTTTACAAGTATAAGGGCATTTTCTTATGTGGATAAGCATGTGGCTTTTCAGATTGGCTGGTCGTGCAAATTTCTTATCGCATATTATACATGTACAACGTTTTTCATCAGTGTGTATAATCTTGTGCTTAGATAATTGGCCTGATTGTTTGAATTTGCTACCACATATACCACATTCAAAAGGGCGTTCATCGCTATGAGTGAACTTATGTTGTTTCAAATTATCCAATCGATTAAATGCCTTGTTACATATATCACATTTATGTTGTTGCTCTTCAGTATGAATACAGATGTGTTTATTTAAACTCTTCTTTCCGGCAAATGTTTTATTACATATTTCACAAGACATTTCACTGGTGTGAATTCTGAGATGCAACTTTAAATAACTTGAATCTGGAAAAATCATTGGGCAATATGTACATTTACAAACATGAGTTTTGAGATGTCGTTTTAAATGATATTGTCTTTTAAAAGATCTCTCACACATGTTACATTTATAAGTCGATGTTTTATTTAATTTCTGTTCTTCTTCAGATGGAAGTTGTCCAGTATGAATATGCATATGGTTTTTTAACAGATTTGATTGATTAAAGCTTTCACCACAAATTTCGCATCTATAATGATGCTCTCCTGTGTGTATCAACAAGTGGCTTTTCAGATGGCTTGATTGTGTGAATTTCTTATCGCATATTATACATTTATAACGTTTCTTTTTATTGTGAATAAGCTTGTGCTTAGATAATTGGCACGATTGTTTGAATTTGCTATCGCAAAGATCACATTCAAAAGTACGTTCTTCACTATGAATATACATATGTTGTTTCAAATTATCCAATCGATTAAATGCCTTGTTACATATATCACATTTATATGGTTGTTCTCCAGTATGAGTTTTGTGATGCAAGTATAAATGACTTGATAATTGAAAAGTCTTTGAACAATAACTACATTTAAAACTATGCACTACCTTATGACGTTTTAAATCATGTAGTCTTTTAAAAGATCTATCGCAGGTGTCACATTTATAAGGAGGTACCTGCTGAATTAATTCCTGTTTGAATTCTTCTTCTATAGTCACATCAGACTTCAGGAATCTTTCCAAACACTTATCGTCATCTTCAAAATATGAATTAGAATTAATAATATCATCAAGATCATGAAAGTCCCTGATTGTATCTTCTGGCAGTTCTGTTTTATGCTCGTTCGTATAAGAATTGGTTTCCTCCGACATTATAATATATATAAACTTAAGTATTTATATATATATAAAATAACTATATCATATATAATAATACGTTATGCTTTATTTATTAAATGTTGTTTTAAAAGCTATTGCAAACTATTTGTAGGTTAGGAATAAATGTATCATTTTGACGTTTGACATAAATATAAACATAGCAACACAACAGCACAGCACAAAGGTACAACGATGGCCAGTAATCTCCGAACAAGTCTGTAACCCGAGTTTAGTTAGAGCCCCTGCCGCCGGTCGCGCTTGTTTTCATTTTTTTTTTTTACTTTGAAATCAACATGGCGTAATGTAATAAATTTTTCATGAAGAGATTACCTAGACAATATAATAAACAAATAAACGCTTGTTAAAGTAAAACCAAATAAGCTGTCGAAGTGCATTGTTTAACGATGAAGAAATATCAAGAAAAATGCATGTATTATGTAGTTCCAGCGAAAAACGACGAAGTAAAAGTAAAATGGTTAATAATATTTGCCGGCTTTCAATCTAAGTGAGTACTTTTATTAATATGCATACTTCAAATTACTTTCATTTGATTGTACTATTCTGATATGATTTTTCATTACAGTTTAATAGTTTAGTAATAACTGAGACATTTAACTATATCAATACTAGAAATTTTAAGGTTATAAATTATAAGAGAGAATAGAGAATAAGATATATAAGAGAGAATTCCTGTCAGCTCTCTGAAAGGTTTGTTATTAAATAACTAAATATAAATTATTCTTGTTCTAATAATGTAGGTTCATAACTAATAATTCTACATCGATTTTTTCAGCAGTATATAAGGAAAATACGTTTAATTGTAAAATGTTTAGACGGTTTAATAAACACATTCACAAGTATACAAGTATTGATATGAGATGAATGAATACACAGGAAAAAACAATAAGAATGAAGTCTGAAATATGTGCTGAAATCTTTGCTCATCTCCCACTAATATTGAACAGTAGGACTCGTAATTATATGTTAAGTCAGTTTGGAGAACATACTAAAAACACTAAGTTAAAGGAAATTCTGAAATTCTAGCTAGTGCAAAGGTTAATTTAGGTTTGGCTATGTCACAGGAAAAGTTTTTAAGTATTAATAATTTCATTTTGATATTACAAGAAATAATATTATCTGCGTTGTTAAATGATGATAAAGGGAATCACATTGTATAGATTTTCAGGAACTGTCAAATGACAGGCAAAGTATAATCATGATTAATGATACAATTCTAGCTAGTGCAAAGGGATAAAACACCCTTAATGTGCACTGCTTATTGCAATTGACTATTCTGAAAGAGATGTCAATAGCTTTACTCTAAAATGTCTTATTGTAGATGCTATAAGAAAACTATTAAGTACTGTTATAATAATATCAATGATTTGTTTTTCTTTAAGACAATGATAATAATGACATTTTGAACCAACATTTGAATGCACATTAACAATAGCGCAGAAAAGATTCCCAAATAGAGACTGTACATCATAGATATTATGTAACTTAATGTTAATCAAAATAAATATATATGTAAATATATATATATATATATATATATATATATATATATATATATACATACACATGCAGGTATGAATTGTGGTTATATATGTATATGTAGGTATATATCTATATAAATAATATATACTTTCATGTACATTTCTATTCTTTTTGTGCTCAGCTTGAAAGGCTGATATGCTAAAATGATATTACACACATATATATATATATATATATATATATATTGTGGATAGCGTGTACATTTATGTACATTTTTATGCTTTTCGCACATAGTTTATACAGCTTACTACCATCTATTATAGTCATATATAATTTCCATGCTATGTGTGCATTGTTTATAAAGAGAACTACTATGTAGATATAATGTAGAATGTTTTTGTGAAAAATAAATGCTTCTAAAATTTTTTTTGTCAATTTTTCTTTTTTTAAATTTTGAATTAAAACGGTCCATATAATTTTGGTTCTTTTCTATAGTATTTTTTATACGGACCCGTTCAGGCGACTAGTGCCATCTGTAGAGAGGAGCTTCAACTAACACAGGAATGTGGCAACGAAATATGGCCCGAGAGAGCGATCTATATACTCTTCTTTTATCTACGCGTGCGCCCGAAAACGTGACTGGAAATTTGTATCCATACATACATACACACACACACACATCCATTTTTTCTGAGGTATGCCGGGATGTTCAGAAACCTTTAAAACGTCGAGAAATGTAAAAATTTTCAATTTCGATTTTCGGCCCATTACAATAATTTACCCTACGGGAAGTTAATAAACTAGTTGGTATTGGTATTTAGCCTTGAGGCAAATTACATGAACTTCCCGATATGTGTAAATAATTGACTTAATCAATAATAAACAAATTAATTTATGAGTGACTAGAAGCATTCCGAGAGGATTTATTATACATAATTGAAAACGAACAAACATGTTATAATTGAACCAGTTTTCTTAGAACGTTAATGGTTTAGTATGTTCATTAAGACCAAGTAATCTATTGTTATACCAAGAAAATCATCTAATTTTAATTTTAACAAACGTCAACAAAACTACTCATATTCTCAAACTTTGGATGAATTTTTAAAATTAAACTACTTGTCGTAAGACCGTAATATTTCAGTAAGTTCTATAAGACCATGATATACAACGCCAAACAAAGTTTCATAAAAATCGGTTTAAATTTTTCTTTCAACAGTTAATTACAAGAAAACGGCTCGGTATATTTTCACCTAAAACTAATCAGTATTATTCCCAACTAACATCTTTCGAACAGTTTTTGATTTTTTAAAATCGATTCGGTAGAATGAGCTTAAATGTGGACGAAAAGTTTAATACTCTTTTTCAAATTACGAAGAAACGGCTCGGCATATCGTCTCACAAAACTGACAAACTATAGTGCTCATAGAGATACATCGAATGGCTTTTAAATTTCTGAAATCGGTTCAGGCGTTTTTGAGCAAACATCGATGAAAGGTCTAATTTTGACAAATGCCAAGAAAACGATACCAATTTTTGCAAATTTTGACGAATTTTTAAAGCTAAACGAGTTGTCGTAGGGCGGTAATATTTCAGTATGATCTAGAAGACTATGATATCTACCTTAAAAAAAAATCGACGAATTTTTTTTTAAAAAAACTATTACAAGAAAACGGCCCAGCCGATCTTTACCAAAAACTAATCAGCACGATTCTCAACCAATATCTTTCGAGCAGTTTTTGAATTTTCAGAATCGATTCAGAATTGCGGGCTAAAACGTGGACGAATTTTTTTTCACTTTTCTGCCATTTATAAAGAAACGGCTAGGACGATCGTCGCATAAAACTCAGAAACGCTAGTCCTTATCTAGATATATCGAATGGCTTTTAAATTTTTAAAATCGGTCGAACCGTTTTTGAGAAAACGTCGATTTACGGCAAAGAATCTGTTCACATATACGCACACACACACACACGTACTTGTTCCAAATTTGGGCTCATTCGATTCAGAAACGTCGAAAAACATAAAATTAGCGAATCGGATTTTTTGATGAAAACATGAACTTCTCCTTCGGGAAGTTAACTATATTATATAACCTAGATTTTCATTAGTAGTGGACAAAATTGTTATAATATGTAATGATATGTTGTAATGTAATGTAACATGTACTTCAAAATTCAAATGTCCGCGCCATTATTATTATAGTGTTGCTGGTAATTATTGGTGTTGGTAATGGCCATGTTACGCTCCGACTTCCATACATTATGCTACTAAATCGTACTGGATACTGTCAAAATGTCATATATTTGCTATGCATTCAGGCGTTTTACACATAAACAGAGTCAGAAACTCCCTGTTATCTAACACCGTTTTTGTGACATTCGTGCGGTTTCTAGGTTAGGTTTATTGTCTGACATTTTTTTGTCAATATGTAGTATTATATGGAAAGTTCTTCATAACATAGCCTTGCCATAACATTGATCTGTTATCCAGTAGAATCGGTCTCTAAAATAAACTAGTATATTTTTAAGAAATTGTTTCATTATCTTTACCGAGTAGTATGTGCTAATTTTAATAATTATAATTTGTTAATGATGAAGTTTTGATAAAATTGAAATGACTAGAAAAACTAGCTGTAAGTGGAATTTTGTCTTAAGGCAATTAAGGCATCGTGCCTTAAGGCAAATTGCTGGAACTTCCCGTGCCAAAAATTATTATTTTTTTAAAAACGATTAACATTTTTGAAAAAATTTTACTTCGAAAAAATAAGATTTTTTAGAAATTTTAAATTGGACAAAAAATTACTTTTTTTGAAAAAAAAATTTTTTTTTTAAAAAAAATTTTTAAACAATTTTTTTTGTAAAAATTTTTTTTTGTAAAAAATGTTATCTTCATTTTGACATATTTTGGAAGATCTGAACTTTTTTTCAAAGCAATCGTACTGCTTTAACTGCATAGAGACAAAATATAAAGCGCGTAAGCGCCGCGTCGCTGTCTAACGGAAAAACATTGGTACGGAACCCATAGGAATGTAAACAAAACTTATACTTATTGTTAAAATCTCAATAAAATATCTGATAATTTGATGTGCATATGTCTAATGTCTAATGATTATTGTTGACCGCCAAATGTTATTTTTTTTTTAGTTTTTTTTACTAGATCTCCGAAACCGCTAGACCTATCTTCATGAAAATTTGATCAAATCTTCATCCTGTTAATACAAGTAAAATGTTTTTTGAATTATTCAAATCGGACGCTCCGTTCTCTTAAAAACTGAGGTACCGTTTTTGGCACTTTTTGCCCCGTATCTTCTGAACGGCTAGACCTGCCTTTGACAAAAACTAATCGGCACGTCTCCTTATCAATACGAATCGAATGTTTTTTGAATTATTCAAATTGCTTCATCCGTGTTCCCGAAATCGTCGACGAAAATTTGTATCCGAACACACACACATGGACGCACACACACACACACACACACACACACATACATC